ACAAGGTAGTGGAGCAACATTGAAAGATGCAGTATCATGGTAGTCAGTGACGAACGATTCGTTCATATGACATTTGTTCCTTCAGGATTCTAAATCCCATGTGGAGCATTGGTTTGGGATCAGGGTTTCCCAACTCCCCTAGGTGGACTCTCCGTATCCACCAACCCGGTTACAGCGTCGGATAATCGCTTTTCATCTTCTTAATTTCGTAAAAAAAACAGTAATGGCACGAGAAGTTAGTGAGTAGGACATCCCTGGCAGTGGTTGTATACGCATGGCCATGTGAGAGCGTTTCGAGAGGAGGAGCTAACTCTCCTTACCTTCCACCGTGCTAGGGCATTTGGAAGCTAGCTACTATCATATGATTATTTTTTAGTCACTATTATAAAACAAAATATTAGAATGATTATTAGTCATGTATTGTCAAATCAAAACACATAATAAACTCAAAGATTTATAATGATAGAGTCGAAATGATTCTATCAGTTATTTAAAAAAGAGTATTATTCAAGTTTTCATGATTGACAGCTGGTAATCAACCAAGATAAATATCACCATAAGTAATTAATATTGATGAGTATTTCTTTTAATTTTAGTATACTGTCGCTATGACTTGTAGAAAATAACAACAGGGGTTGTTATGCAATAAACAAGCTAGTCATTGATTAAAGAATAATTAGAAATTTCACAGGAAATAAAGCGTAAATATAGTCCCAGCAGACAAATGACTCACCACAGTAATTATGGACAAAGAAGAATTCGTCAACAAAGCCGAGGAACTACTTGAAGATAAGAGCATATACAAACTGATGCATATAAATTCCGTCAAAAAATTAGATAACCGAATCTCAAAGACTTTAAACAAGCTAGTCAAAGCAGGAGAAATAACAAAACAAGACCAATTGAGAATGAAATCCAATGGACCAGTACTCCCTCGATTCTACGGCAGACCAAAAATACACACACCAAACATTCCACTACGTCCAATTGTAGCACTCCCCGGAACGCCAACATACAATTTGTCAAAAAAAATTTCACCAATACTGAAACATTTAGCAGATTCATCCAACCACTCCACCAAATCCTTCACACAATTCCGGGACCAAATTAGGGACATCCAAATCAACAACGACGAAATGATGATATCCTTCGATGTAACAGCGCTATTCACTTCAATTGAACCAAGGTTAGCAAAAGAAACTATATCCCTGCTACTCACCAACGACACAAATCTCACTAAGTACACGAAGCTTCAAATTCAGAGTCTACTAAAACTCCTCTATTTATTCCTAACAACATATTTTCAATTCAACAAAAAATCTAGGAACAAACGAAGGGAACACCAATGGTATCACCAATATCAGGACTGATCGCAGAAGCAGTGATGCAAAGACTAGAAGCCGCGATATTACCAGTGATCAAGCCAAAAATTTGGATTCGTTATGTAGACAATACATTCGTCATCTTCAGAAAGAATGAGCTGAAAAACACTTACAAGCTGATCAACAACGTCTTCGATGACATCAAGTTCACAATGGAACAGGAGTCAAACAACAAACTATCATTTTTAGATATATTAATCACTAGAAGTGACACAGGAAAACTGGAAACTCAAGTGTATAGGAAACCAACCCATAGAGACCAAATTCTCAACTACAATAGCAACAACCCAAGAGCTCACAAAATCAACTGAGTACACATTTTGTTCAAGAGGGCGAGAACACACTGCAGCACACTGGCAGCACGAAGAAATGAAGAGAAATACCTGAAGGACGTATTTCAGAACGGCTACCCAATCAACTTCATCAAAAAGTATCAACCGCACGCGGCATTAGAACTCAAGTCAAGCACAAAAATCAACAAAAGGATTACCCTACCATTTATACAAGGAATATCAGAAACCGCAACAAGACTGCTGAAAACCTTCGGAATAAGTGTAGCACACAAACCAACAAAATCACTAAAATCAATCCTATGCAAACCAAAAGATGAAATAACAAATGAAAACAAATCAAACATCATCTACAAAATAAATTGTGCCAACTGCGAAAAACACTACATCGGACAAAACGGACGCCCCCTTCACCTGCGCCTACATGAACATCAATTAGCAGTCAAACGGCATGATATCTCCTCACTTATATCAATACACGTGGACAACTGCCGACACTCATTTGATTGGAAAAATGTGGAAATCTTGGATAGAGGAAATTCCAAAAACACCAGAGAATTTTTAGAAACTTGCACTCAGGTCAATCAGCAATCAACAAGCACATTAAAATCGATCCAACTTATCAACCAATCAGGAAAACTATGCACAAATATAGGAACAAAGATCAAACCAATGGGAGACACAACCAATACAAAGGGGTAAACAATGACAAATTTAAGGTCAATAAGAACCAATCAACATCGATGTGTACAGAACAAGCTGTGAAATGCATATGGAGAAATTCGAACACTTCACTTCTATCTGAAGTTTAAACTGATAATGTCGTTCAGAAGAACGATGAAAGCTTCACAACCAAACCATCCAGCTCAGATACCGAAACTCCATTAAAACTGATGTCTCTTTTTTTAACATGACAGTCTCATGTTATTAATCCCTTCTCGATAGAACACCCATTTAACCATAAATATAACTAAATCAACAGACAACCCACAATAGAATTTATCGGGAAAAGAAACTTATCTCCCTTTCTAACACGAACTTTCATCTTATCTGTAAATATAATAATACGTATCTGTCGCGGTGAAAAACAAGATATCGATCTATCAATGTTCCAAAAAGTCCTCGATAACTACCAAACTAACTGACCTCTAATTGTTTTTTGTTCAAATTACTGTCAACTCAGTGTAGGTATACATCTCGACAGACTTGATGTGAACAATAAACAAAGAAATCAGCAATTTCGTTTCGCTAAAACAACTTCGATAATGAAACATACTTATTTTGTGATCTGGAAAATCAAATTATCTAGTTATTTGTTTCAGTCATTCAACAACAACGTAGGACTTCGTACGTACGTACATAAGTTCGAGTTGCCATACCACATTAGCACAGAGATGCAGTTGTCTATTCAAATCCCACTGTGGTAGATGCGGCAAGAGTATAAGCAGGAATCGGAAAGATTAGTGTTTGGAGATGTTACTTAAAGAGTATAATCCAGTGAAATAAATTTGGAAAGAGAAAAAAAGAGACGAGGATCCAGGAGATTGGAATTCGGGAGAACATAAAGAGTAGATGCACCTGCACCATGGCAAACGATTTTGAGCCATGTCATTCAAGGTCTCTAACCATCGGTTGCTATCGTCTCGCAGATCCCAACCAGGTATTCCATACCTACCAACATGGCTCAGTCCACTTGCCAGTGAAATCATGGATTTGTGCCATGTTTTGTTCTGGCCGCCCCTAGCTTTCTTCCAACCTACTTCTACAGCATAAAACATCGCATGTCAGGGTAGTCATTGGTTGGGCATATGTAACACGTATCCCAGCCATCTCAACTGATGAAGTTTCACCACTTCATCAGTTGATTTGTGAACGCTAAGTTATTTGTTTAGACTTCACATTCCAAGTTCCCTTCAAAACCAAATGATTTTTCAAAAATATTATCTTAAATTTCTGATGGGACTTCCATCAATTCATATCTTATTATTATTTAGCTTGAGATTAATTACTGGATCGTGAAATTTTGTCTCTGAAGATCAATTCAACTCTCAAACAGTGTTTCATGTTCTAATTTCACTTTAACAATTGAATAATATAAGGAAATCTCATGTAGAATATGGGTCCTAAATTCAAATATACGTGCCTGACTGTTGAGCTACGTTATACTATTGCTAAATTTCCTATTTTTTCAAACTATAGTTGTCAGAAGATATACACCGGTATCATTTATTATAAAGATGATCATATTTGTCCCAATAGATAATAAACATATGTTAAGATTCCATTAGTTTCAAGTACGTATTTAACTATTATGAATGTAAATTTATTTACTTGAACACATAGATATTGGTACAAGGAGGCACCGTATACATATGCTGTGATAATGCCCGAGTGCCCAAACCGAAGCAGGATTTGAATGTAAAAGAGAAGCTTTAAAGTGAACTGACTTTTTTTGTGGTTCTTCTTGTTCACACTGTGTTAATCAAGTATCTGGATTTAGATTTAATCCGGTCAGCAAAGAAGGACACTGATGCAATAAACTTTACATACCGTACCATCGTTTGATTTGAAAAAGTAAAGATTAATGAACGTAGAAATAAAGTGATTTAGAATGAATCACAGAACGCTTTTACTTCTTAGTAAGTCATTACTTAGTCACCAAATTTTCTCGGCCTGAATTTATGTGGATTCCAACAACAAATTACTGACAAACATACACACGGGTGTTCGACTAATTGTAAAAACCTACAACAACTGATTATCTCAATAAAAAATTGGCTAATTTGACCAGTGGTCGACTTTACTTGAAAATCTAACATTCTATAACGGTTTCGAAAAACACCGAGTCCCCATAACTGAGCAAGGTGAATTGAGTTGTACAACATTACAACAGACAGCTGAGGTTTTGAGCCACAACTAAATATGACAGAATGGTAGTGGGGTAGACGAAAATGATTTACGAATAGAGACGATAAACATCGAGAAATGATATGTGTTCTTTAAAGATTGAAATTATGTGTGTGTCACGACTCAAGAAGTTAGGTTTGAATGCGAAACAATTACAAGAGAAGTACTATCAAACAACTTTGAAGTAAGAGATGATATCTATTCGATGATCTCTAGTTCTTTTCATCGATAATAAACATTTATGAAGGAAATTTAGACGAAAAACAAGTGTATAGTTAAGTGAAGTCTTTATTGAAAAATGTTATCTAGGAACTTTCGGTATTTATGGTAATTTGAATATATACATAAGTGCATAGTTTGTAACGTAAACTATAAGGAGAACAGGAACTCATAAAATAATGTCAACATCATGCCTAATTTATCAAACATCATAACGTTTAGTTTTTGACAAATTATCCCAAAATGTTTCCAGATTACGTGTAGGAAAACGACGATTGAATTGTTTAGCATATCGATCATAGAAAATCATATCTTCCATTTGCAATTCACGCATCTGGATTTGAAAATACATAATTAAAGGTACAATATTTAAGATAATCAAAAAAGAAGCTAAGATTTAACAATGACATAACCTCTGACTGACTTAAAAAGTGTAAGATTTTCAAACAGTAGTTACTGAACTGTTGCCTTAAACTACGTCCCAATAATTAAATAGATACCTGGGCTTTGACGTGAACTGTTGATGTTAAACATAATGGTACTAATCAGTTGCCTAAACTGAAATAGGCGCAACCAGGAATTTGAAGGGATCATTTTCCTCAATGTCACTTGATTATCTAAAACTTTCTCAACTTTTATTTCCAATACTTAAATGATCAATCGGTGGATAAGGACTTTTAGTCCTAACTGTGTATGATCGGAAAAGTTTCAGACGTGAAAATTTCAGAATCAGTAAACTAAACTTCAATTAATTAGGTGGGTATACAGTGTCAAAACTAAAACACCGTTTGATATTGAGTTGTACACAACGAATGTTAACAAGTTTAAATTATAGATGACACCATACAGAATGAGTAGCATAAAAAACAAATGAAATGATGGTGAAAATGGTAAACAAAAGTTCACATTTATGTGTCTTTTTAGAAATATGAGTACGCATCAAGTTCAACCAAAGTATAAAAGAAAATCTATAAACTGCGTTAGTTTTTTCCTACTTTTTGACTTACCTCCTCACTAGCACACTTATAGTTTCGGAGCAACTTTAGAAAAATTCATTGAGTAACTTTAATTATCTATATTTAGACACAGAAAAGGCTTTCTATACAGCTTAGTGGACGGAACTGTTCTATCCGTGGTCAATGTAGAAGTTGCACTAATTTTAACCGGCTTTCCGGTTAACAATACCCAATGGAAGTTATTTTAGAATTCATAATTACTTTTATACTCAAAATATGTTTTCCCACTAAATACCTTAGAACTAAAAGAAAAATAAAGAGGAACTCACTTTTTCATCAGCTAGAGTAGCAGCTTCAACTTCTTCACTGAAATACGGTTTCTGAAGGTACATATGGTTTTGGCGAGAAATAAGAAGCTCATCCAAAAACGCTTCTTTACGCGCATTAGTTAAACGGGGGATTTTCCGTTGTTTACCACCCCAAACACTACCGGGCATTGATTTCCAGGGTATGAAACGTCCATAACGGACACTTGACAGAAGCATTTAAAGACTAGAATATTAACACAATTTAACGGAAACAGTGAGGTGACTTCTAATCTGATAAATAAATATATATGAACACATGATATAAAGTAACCAATTCATCAGAAGTATTTGCAAATGGGGATCAGATAAATAAAAGCTATCGCAGTATACGACACTGAGTGGTTCATTTAAAACGAAAAATACTTGAAATTATTGTGACTGTAATCAATGACAACATGGACACAACCAAACCACTAACTATATATCGACAACCACAACGGTCAAAGAGATGCTATGATGTTACCCCTCGCCTGTTATGTTTTTGGTTTTAACCACCTCTTATTCGAATTTTTCGAACTCGCGTACTCTGTCGACTGAATTAGCCACGATCGTCACGGCGATTACATACAGTTCATTAGAGTCTGTCTGTACGCAGAGTTGTAACGATTTGTCAAGCAAGTTCTGAACATTTTTGTAACATGAAAACCATTTAAACGAATTCGTACTGCACCCAAACCGGCTTCGGAATTGTTCGCTTCAGAAGCCCAAACTCCCTAAAATCCATATTTTTGAGATCTTTATCTCCGGCATTTAATTTCAGCTGTATCGCTGTTTCAGAATCTCACTTTTTTATACCATCTGTGAGCGATAAGTCTTTCGGGGCAGAAATCCATAATCCTTTCAGTTTATATTTATTCTGTTGCATTACACCCCTTTCATTTGCTTTGAAAAGCAATTTTTTAATTATAGTTTACTCATATCTCACCAACTTATTGGTAACACGAGTATGTCAGTGTGACATGAAAGATCAAAAGCTGCTTATAGGTTTAGCCTTCATTGGCTTCAACAAAGCTTTTGGCAAAGTCTCATACAACGGACTGTTATCCAAGTTGAACAATATTGGGACGAGCGGTAGCTATGTTTTATGGATAAATGATTTTATAGTTGGACACTAACAAACCATATGGGTTCGCCCCAATTTGTCTGGCTGGAAAAGTGTTTAGTTGAGAGCCTCAAGGTAGTTTAACAGTCAGTGCATAAGAGGCTAGCTGAACTAAGCCTATTACCCTTTGTAATACAAAAGGATTAGACATGACTTAATCACTATCTTTAATCTGCTTAATAATAATTTCTCATCTAAAGTACACATTTTCCCGTCTTACAGAAGAATTTACGAGGACATTCCAATAAATTCCACAAGCTCATGACCAATTAATTGTCAGCTTACTACCAACTTTCACATCAAATCATCAACCAGTGAAACTCCTTGCTACAACACGTTGTCAATGCATTAGAAGTGGGAAGAAGTGAGGGACCATAATCAGGAACAATACAGGTTATCCAACCTTTCTAGCCGTCAGTCAGTCAGCTACAACGTAGGACCAGGCACATATGTGCATCGGTCCAGGTTGCCATACTGCATCAGCACAACAAGATGAACACCGGATTCATAACAGTGGTTAGGTAAAAGGTGGTAATATATAAGAGCCGTACCAAACCTAGACTGAGTTTCTGGTTGACGATCGATCAAAATAAGAAGCAACTTTAAAATCCATTCTTGGAGATCCGTACTTATTGGAGCGACAGAGCTCAGAGCTAGATCCATACTTATTTATATTTGATTTCGCCCAACCTTTAGTGATACGTCATGCTGACCATGTCACATTATGGGGAAATGTAGTAGAGGATGCTAGCGGACGTGGGTTACAAGGTTTGAATTTCCTACAACAATCCCATATACCTTCCAGATTTGAGCAATTAACTGACAAGTAAAATATCCACCACGCCGTCAGCACTAGCGAATGCAACGCGGAGTCTCGGCAGCTTCGTATCCTTGCCTCCGGTACGTTGTACAACCGTTGTTAGTTTAAATTTGAGAAGCTTGAGGTTCTTATTTAGATCATCCGAAAACATCCTATCATCTTTGTCTTGTAAAGTGAGGAATATATCAGAGCAGTCTCCTAGATTCACGACTATTAAGGGATTATCATGAACCTTGATTGATTTCCTAGGTCTCTAAGTACGTATAGGTCGGAGTCCTTTTTGTTTTACGGTAGGACAATCTTGGTAGTATATTATACAGTCGAACCACTAAATAATTTCTCCAAGACCTAGGCTTTAAGAACTTTCAATTCTGAAGTTTCTAACGCTATTTATGGGGGTCTAGTCGTCTTTCGTTGGCTATATAGCCATATGCGTTTTGGACCCGATTTCTTCCAGAGCTGTTGACAATATTTCCCTCAATCAAGTTGGAAGACTGATTATATTACTTAGCATGCCCTCAGAATTTATATTACTTTTGTCTATTGCCCACCTGTCATCAAATTTGCTGAGTCTATTGTAAGCAGTTGCAGTGAGATCTATACATATCTCATGAGGCCACCCTGTGCATTTGTGACATTGCATACCACATATGGTGGCAAATCAATGGTCATGTTGCTTACAGGTATTTTAGTGATTATGATGGAGCATAAGTTGTTGAATGAATAAGCATAAAAGGTTATGGATATAATTATATCCATCAAAAAATTGTCAAGACAGGTGGTAAACATATTCGAAATAATAATAATAACCTCTTATCGTAAGGAACCGTAGATACTTGCGAGTATTTATCCCAGGCCCGACCTCAATTAACTGTTAATTTAAAAGATACTCAGAAGGAAAAGTAATCCACTTAGGCCTCTGAGACTATAATTCAAGGACGACCTTTGAGCGCTGATCAAGTGACCTTAGAGATAAGCGTGTAATGAACTACTTCTATCAAGAGAACGCAACTGTCTTCAGTCTTCAGTAATAAGGATAGTAGGTTGATGAACCTGTGTTAATCCTGACGGATTGCCTTCCAGTGAAGGTACAGTTTCTCGTTGAAAATATTCACTGATTGGGCTGATACCACTTCTTCGCTAAGGCATTCCAATCATTGAATACTCGAGGAGAAAAAAGGCACCCCATTTTAAGTTTATTAGATCGCTGTTTATGAAGCTTTTGCTGTGACCTCTGAAATTATAAGTGCTGGAGGTAGCAAAAAGATAAGACATATTAACGCCCAAATCGTAAATAAATATACGAAATACCAATATAAGGTCACCTCGCGCAGTACGAAACGACAAAGGTTCAAAATGGTTCAAATGGTTGTGGACGGAATATAAGAAACTTTCGCTTAACATGCTTCTGTGTCTAGTAGCAGGGTGTAGCGGTAAATAAATCCACAAACTAAATAGCTCTGTAAGTTTTCGACATTTAATACTGACCATATGTTTTAGTGGACTCATCTAGCTGAAGGCGCTTGGTCATGCATCCGCACCAGATCACGTGTAATAACGCTGTGCTCAACACCTTCCGCAATCGCCAGCCAGATTAGATCAGAGAATTCCGATATATTGGTTATCGCCAAATACATTCTTCCGATCTCCTCAACTCTGTCTTTTGATTTCTCTCGGTGGGAACAAAGTATATTAGGTGTTACTGGTAGAAGCGTTGTCAAACACTGAATACCTGTATCATCCTCATTGCTGAGACCGACGTGATCTGGTACACCTAATTGCAACTGTGAGTCTATTCCTTTTTGGGATTTTTATATATCATTGCCTTATTTTTTTAAACATTCTTTTTTTCGTTTTTTTTCTTGGATATATACATATATATTTTCATATTTCATCAGGACTGAACAGACACCCAAAGTACTAAAGCTTAAGACTTTGTCCCCGCCTTCGTTTCAACTCATGCCTTTCTGGCCCGACAATATCGAAGCCTGGTTCTGCTACGCAGAAGCCGACTTCTCTGAGCAGCGCGTGATCGACACACATGCACAAATCCTCGCAGTAGTCAAGGCACTACCGCGCGAATTCAACAGGTACGTAACACCTAGTATGTTTACTAGTGATGTTTCCGAACCTTACGAAATCCTAAAACGTTCGATTCTTAAACGAGGAGACCTAACCGATCGACAAAGGTTAGATCAACTCTTCAATAACATCGACCTGCAACACGGTTCTGCGACGGACATGTTGCAACGAATGAGAGAAGTGATAGGCCTAAAGACTTTCGACGAAGGTCTAATCAAACAATTTTTCTTGTCCAAACTTCCTCAACGGGTGCAAGCGGTTCTGGTCTCGTTTCAGAACAACGCTTTAAACGAGCTGGCTGCATCTGCCGATCGAATCTTACTTACTTACTTACTTACTTACTTACGCCTGTTACTCCTCGTGAAGGAGCATAGGCCGCTCACCAGCATTCTCAATCCAACCCTGTCTTGGGCAATCCTTTCTAGCTCCGTCCAGTTGTTATTCATCGTTTTCATATCTGCTTCTATTATCCGACGCATTGTGTTCTTAGGCCTTCCTCTTTTCCGATTCCCTTCAGGATTCCAAGTTAGGGCTTGTCTCGTTATGCAGTTTGACGATTTGCGTAATGTATGTCCTATCCATTTCATCATCTTCTCCTAATTTCCTCTTCAGCTGGAAGTTGGTTTGTACTCTCTCACAATAGGCTATTACTGATGGTATCCGGCCAATGGATGTTGAGTATCTTGCGTAGACAGCTATTTATAAATACTTGTACTTTCTTGATTGTGGTTGTTGTAGTTCTCCAAGTTTCAGCTTCGTATAGTAGAACTGCTTGACGTTGGTATTGAAGATTCTCATTTTGATATTGGTTGAAAGTTGTTTTGAGTTCCATATGTTCTTTAACTGTAGGAATTCTGTCCTTGCTTTGCCAATCCTTGCATTTACGTCTGCATCTGAACCTCCTTGTTCATCGATGATGCTTCCTAGGTATTTGAAGGACTCTACATCTTCCAGAGTTTCGCCATCAATAGTGATTGGATTGTTGTTTTCTGCTTTTGAATTTGAGGACTTTGGTTTTCCCTTTGTGTATGCTGAGGCCTACTGATGCAGAGACTGCTGCTACACTGGCTGTCTTTGTCTGCATCTGTTCGTGTGTATGCGATAGGAGGGCTAGGTCATCTTCGAAGTCCAAATCGTCTAATTGGTTCTGAGCTGTCCATTGTATGCGGTGTT